CACTTTCCATATGGACATTTACATGGCCATATATAACTCCAAGACGTCAGGGAAGTGTAATCCTACCACATAGAGGGAGGAGAACTGGGACTATTTGGGGAGCTGCTGTGATGAAGATCTTATCATCCCAACTAAACAACTGGTTAAAAAGTTGTACTTGGGGAACTTTGATCAGTTGCAAGTGTACAAATGTGCATAGAGGAGGCACACGCTGGTGTAGATCATACTGCGTATGTTGATATGCACTAATAGCAGGTGAAATAGGGAACCGCAGAAGATGAACAGTCAAACTGGGCCTTAGGAGAAGAAAAATGCAAATTAACTCAGATCAGAAAACTACCCCTGCTACCAGCTTTTCTTACCTAGAGACCTGTGAGCGAATTTTTAATAGTCGATACATCTATGGTGGTGCTAACTATTCATCCTTGGGAAAGCAGAAAAAAGCAGTTATGAAATTTTATCTAGATTTTACATATCTCACGGAACCCTGGCTGGAGAACCTTGTTTGTCACACCTATGAAAGTGTTTCCACCAAATCCTTGAGTAGGAGCAAATGATAGTTAATGTTGCAACTTTGGTGAAAATGATTTGAAGTCACTTTTGCATAACTTTGTTAAAGTTATAATATCCCAAGTGAGCTATACAGATTTTCTCCCCATTGTGTGGATTTAGTTATCTTCCATTTTAATCCAGCTTCTCTCCTATGCTTGCTGTTGCTCTAATCTATCAGTTTCACTCCTAAAATTTCACCCTAATTTATCAAATCCTTTCTGTTTCTACTCCAAGCTACCTCTACCTCTCTCCAAGCTACCTCTACCTCCCATCTTCAATATAGTAATAGCCTTATAACTGGTTTGCCTTATGGACTCACAACCCTGCAAAGCAGTTATTAATCTGTTGCAGCTTTTTTTTTTTCTTTTTATTTTCTTTTTGAGGCAGAGTCTCACTCTGCCACCTGGATAGAGAGCTGTGGCATCATAGCTCACAGCAAATTCAAACTTTTGGGCTCAAGTGATTCTCTTGTCCCAGCCTCCTGAGTAGCTGGGAATACAGGCCCCCACGGAAACGCCTGGCTATTTTTTTTTTTTTTTTTTTGGTAGAGATAGGGGCTTGCTCTTGCTCAGGCTGGTCTCAAACTCCTTGGCCTCCCAGAATGTTAGGATTACAAGCATGAACCACTGTGCCCTGTCCCAGTATGCTTTTAAAAAATTATTTCATGACACACCCATACAGCTAAAAAATCTTCAGTTGATTCCCATCAAAGATCAGGACAGTCAACCTAATCTGCAAGAAACTGGATGGCCTGAGCGTCTCCAGCCTCTACTCCTACCAGTCTGCCCCTCCCTCCCCGGATTCTGTGCACGCTGAGACTGCCCCGCTGTAACTGCCCCGCTGCCAGTGCTGCCCCCTTCTCCTCTTTTGATCAGAGCAATAGTACACAAGGTCAAACAAACAAACTATACCAAGAAGCTTACAAATGTAAAGGCAACAGACTTCTATTTATCCACCATTCCTCCCCTCCTAAGAGGCAAGTTATTTGAACTTGTAGCTACTTCACATGGTACTTATGATCATCTTTATAAAGAATTTTCTCATACTGCCACTTCTTAATTTATCCATTTTAAGCATCACTTATTTATTTTCTCCCATAGAAGATGAGGATTTAACTATTCCTTCACCACCCTCTCATCTCCTAGCCTTTAAATACCATTAGTTACTATTTTTTATTAAACTATCACTTGAGATTTATGATTTATGTTATGATTACATAAAATCCACTGCAGAACTAAGTGTAATATTTTGAAATGTCTTTTTTATAGAGTTTTCCTAGGTTTCTAATTGCTTCACTTAAAAATTCCCCATACATTTTAAGTGCTCAAAACTCCATGATATTGAATTTTTTATTTAGGACAACATTTATTTTATAATATGTATATATTTTAAATTTCAGAATATTACAGGGGTACAACTGTTTTTGGTTCCATAGACAGCCTTTGTACCACTTGAGTCAGGGTTGTAAGTGTGCCCATTACTCAGATAGTGTTCATTGTATCCATTAGGTGTGATTTTTACTCATCCCTTCCTTCCCCTCCCACCTGAATGATTTCCACGGAGTTTTGCTTCTCTCTAAGCCCACCAGTGCTGGTCTGTTAGTTCCAATTTAATAGCGAAAACATGTGGCATTGTTTTTCCATTCTTTAGATACTTCACTTAGAATAATGGTGTCCAGTTTTATCCAAATAGTTGCAAAAGGGATTAAGTCATCTTTCTTGTAGTGGGATTGCTAGATCAAATGGTAGCACTTTTAGTTTTTTGCGGAATCTCCACACTATTGTCCAGAGGTTGTACTAATTTGCAGTCCCACCAACGGTGTATAAATATTTCTTTTTCTCTCCATCCATGCCAGCATCTATTGTTTTTGAACTTTTTGATGAAAGCCCTTCTTACTGGGGTTAGATAATATCTCATTGTGGTTTTGATTTGCATTTCTTGATGATTAGTTGCGTTGAGCAGTTTTTCACGTTTGCTGGCCATGAGTCTATCTTCTTTTGAAAAGCTTCTTTCCCTTCATGTCTTTTGTCCACTTTTTTATGGGGTTGTTTTACTTGTCTTGCTGATTTGCTTTAGTTCTTTGTAGATGCTTGTTATTAGCTCTTTATAGAATGTATTGCGTGTATTTTCTCCCATTCTGTAGGTCATCTATTTGCTCTGTTGATTTATTTATTTATTTTTGTTGCTGTGATTGCCATTGGGGGTCTCATAAATTCTTTGCCTCAGCTGATACCTAGAAGAGTTTTTCCAACATTTTATTCTGGAATTCTTAACAGTTGCAAGCCTTACATGTAAGGACATTATCCATCTTGAATTAATGTTTGTGAGTAGTGAGAGAAATAAACCCCATTTCAATCTTCTACATTGAACATGTGGCTATCCAATTTTCCCCAGCACCATTTATTGAATAGGGATTCTTTTCCCCAGTGTAAATTGTTGTCTGTCTCATCAAAGATCAGTTGACAATATGTGGCTGGTTTTATATCTGCATTCTCTATTCTGTTCCACTGGTCTATGTTTCTATTTTTGTTCAAGTATCATGCTGTTTTGGTTACTATAGCCTTGTAGTCTAGTTTAAAGTCTGGTGAAGTGAGGGTGACTGGAAAGATCACCTATGTGGTCTGTCTAACAAGGATACAAGTGAATTTTTCTAGAACTAGAGTATAAGTGTTCTAACACAATAACTAAGTAAATGACACAAAGTCTATGTTAACCAGTTGGATGAAAATATTTCAAATTGTATATGAAAACACTACACTGTACCCCATGTTTGCATTAATGTATATAGCTATCATTTAATAAAAAAAAAAAAAAGTCTGGTGAAGTGATGCTTACAGATTTGGTTTTTGTTTAAGATTGCTTTGCCTATTCGGGCTCTTTTCTGTTTTCAAATGAAGCATAGAATTAATTTTTGTAGATCTGTAAAAAATGACATTGGTATTTTGATGGGGATTGTGTTAAATTTGTAAATCACTTTTGGCACTATGGGCATTTTAACAATGTTGATTCTGCCGATCCATGAACATGATATGTTTTTCCATTCATTTACATCATTGGCAATTTCCTTTCTCAATGACTTGAAATTCTCTTTGCAGAGATCCTTCATGTTTTTTCTTAAAAATATTCCTAGGTTTTTATTTTCTTTGTAGCTATTGTGAAAGGTACTGAGTCTTTGATTTGATTCTCAGCTTGATTGTTGTTAGTGTATGGGAATTCTACTGATATGTGTACATCAATTTTGTAACTCGAGGTTTTCCTGAATTTATTTATCAATTCAAGGAATCTCTTGATGGAATCTTTGGGATTTTCTAGATATAAGATCATATCACCAGTAAGGAGTGATAGTTTAGATCCCTTTTTTCCAATTTGGATACTCTTAATTTCTTTCTCCTGCCTGAGTGCTGTGGCTATGATTTCTAGCACTGTGTTGAATAAAGTGGTGACAGTGGACATACTTGTTTCAGTTCTATGTGAGAATGCTTTCAACATTTCCTTATTCAGTATGATGTTGGCTGTGGGTTTGTTGTTTATGACTCTTATAATTTTGAGATATATTTCATCTGTGCCTATTTTGTTAAAAATTTTTTTTCATGAAAGTGTGTTGAATTTTGCCAAATGCTTTTTTTCTGCATCTATTGAGATGTCACATGATCTTTGTTTTTGCTTCTGTTTATGTGATGAGTCACATTTATGGATTTGTGGATGTTGAACATACTTGCATCCCTGTGATGAAGCCTACTTGGTCATGGTGGATTATTTCTTTGATGTGCTATTGAATTTGGTTTGCTAAAATTTTATTGAAGACTTTGCATCTATATATATAAGCGGTATTTGTATATAGTTTTCTTTTTTATTGTATCATTTCCTGGGTTTGGTATCATGTTGACTTTTGATTTTCTTTTAAGACTTTGTTCCTAGGATTTCCATCTTCCTATTCCAATCCTATGTGGAAATTCTTGTGGTCTGTTTTGCGGGTGTCATTCTGGGTTTTTCCTTTACTGCCCTTCTAGAATAAATGCACTTATGACTTCCCAATTCTTGATTTACGGCTACATAGCAGAGTAAGTCCTAGTGTCTTATAGTACTTCAGCTAATTGGGCTCTCTAATATGAGTTCTTGGTTAATAGGTAGACATGAACTCAGTTGTCATCTACAGCATCCTACCTTAGAGGAAATTTAGAATTGTAACCGTGGAAGGTTGAGAATCATTGGAATAAATGAGCAAGTCATACAACGACCAAACAGGGGGGAGAAAAACTATGACTCCAAAAATTTACAGTCCATGGCAATTGAAAAAAAAGAGGTATCAGCAAATGTGGTAATTTTGCCATAGCATTCAAATTCCTGTCCTGCACGTCAACCTAAAAGAATTTTGTCAGAATCACATCACATAATTATCCACTCACACCCGGAGGCTTTGAAATTTTTTTTTTTTTTTTCTTGCAGCTCAGAAGTTTATTAATGAAGGGGGTTGGGGTAGCTGGTGTTTACATGCCTGACCCCTGCAGCCTTGTATCCTGGCTGTAGTGAGGAAGATGGCTGGTTTCTCTGCTGGCCACAGGTGATATCATCCCAGGAACATGGTGAGCCCTCTCTCCTGGGTGCCTGTTGCCATGGCTGGAGTCCAGCACCATCAGACAGGTTCCGCTTCTGTTTCTTGTGCTTGAGCTAGAGTATCGGTATTTTTCAGGATCTCAACATAGTATGGGCCAAATACCTGCTCATTGTGATGCATCAGCTTGACAAACTTCTGGCCTAGCTCTGTCAACTCTCCTTCGATGTGATTAAGGCCTTCAGGGAAGTGTTGCTGAGACTCCTGCATGCCACGGACCAAACAGCATTTGAGAAACAAAAGGAGACGCTGATCAATGACACTACGAACACGGTTGTCTTTCTCGGTGATGTTCTGGAGTTGTCCTATAAGACATGCTGTGTCTTCACTGCTTAGGGCAGCAAAGCCCAGGTCCTCAAGGCCACGATGAATTTCCTGAGACACTTGTTCACTCACATGCAGCATAGCTTCTTCAGGCTTGGAGTTAAATTCCTCAGTGACAGCCTTGGTTATGCCTTTCAGTTTATCCACAAATCCAGGTGAGTCGAATAAAATTTTACCAGAGAAACTTCTAGCCACTAGTAAGACTGAGGCCAATATAGCCAAGTGGCGCAAATGGGACCCCATTTCCTGGACCCGGTTTCTGTCCATCAGCAGAGTCTCAGGGAATTCTTCATTTTCAGGATCCCAGAGGAGGAGATTCAGGTAGCCCTGGTATAGCACCATTACGGGATTGGGAGGATCTGAATTCTCAGCTGCCTCGTTTGGAGATGAACAGGCTGTGCTAGAGGAGCTGGACGTGTCAGGAGGATTCGGACATGGTGTAATGACGTCTGTGGCTGCTTGGGTTAGCCATTTCTTGGTGTAATCAAGGAGATCAGGCTGTTTGTCAAGGAGTTCCTGGAATTTAGCTCTTTCATACTGGATGGAATATTCCTGCAGGTAGGGTCGAATGCTCTGGATGGTATAGTTCGCCATGTCCATTTTCATTAGGCCCAGAACATGGAAGATGCCCCTCAGTAACTGTACTGGATCTGTTATGCTATGTAGTTTCTTTACTTCTTCATCTCGAACTGGTGCACATAGCAGGGTCATCAAACTAAGAATGTAGTTAGAGAGACGAGAGACATCTAGGGCTCCATGTTCTGCTTCTTGCTTGAGGAGATCCATGTCGAGAACTTCTTTAATCTCATTTTTTAGGCGGATGTGGCGTGGTAATAGCAGTGATAGCAAAATCTCCTTAACTTCTGTCATAAGTTCAAGAGCACAAGTGAATTGGGGAGGATTGCTCAAGAGTTGTTCTCTTAGATGGTTCCAAAAAACATTGTACAATGTCTCCATGAACTTGTCTTCCGTACTGTTTGGAGGTAAAACATTCTCTCCCATGTAGAAATCTTGGTTTACCATGATTTCATGAGCAATGCTCATCCTGGAAACTTCCTTAATTGTTTCCATTAGACGAGGAGAGCAGTTATCTAAACAGAAGTTTTCCTCTTCTTCGTTCTTCCCTGATGTTTCAGAACTATGGGCTCCACTCTTTGCTTCATTGGGATCATTTTGGAGTACAGTTTCCTCACTCTTGGGCATCTTGATGTTATCTCTTCCTCTGTTCTTGACCGGCTGCCCCGCGGCTGAGTCTTGAAATTTTTAACAGTTAAAAAATACAAGTCTATTCATATGTTCCAATTTATCTGTTTTCTTGTTCAATGATATTTTCCGAGAATTAGATGAGTGACCACTTTACTACACTGCTTAACATCATATTTTTATACTTATTGTACATTATGTTGCTCAAGCTTAAGTTATAAGCAGCTAAGCAGAGGGCTCTCCCTTTTGAGGGGTCTTTCTAGGCGTTTAAATGTTGCTAAGTGACAGAACAGCAAAAGGAAAAAACTGCTGAGCAAGGTGTTTGAACAATTCTTTTGAGTTATGGACTCTATTGAGTATCAAAAAAAGAAAAAAAGAAGAAGAAGAAAAAAGCTATGTTGAGCTCCTTTCCCGGAAGGCAAAAAGGGCACCTAGGTAAAAAATGCACCTATTCAAACGAGCACACAATTTTGAATATAATTTGAGGATTTGGGTGGAAGAATACTAGTCGTAGAATTTTTGCTTCAGACAATTCAATTATCCCCCATGCCCTGATTGGGAGACTGCAGTTTCTGTAGCTCATGCTCGTAGTCTTATTTTTCTACTCCTTTAGGCAATGACCTCCTGGAAATAATCATTAAGTAAACCAAGCAGGTGGGGTCTAATAGAAAATAGCCAGTCAACTTAAAAGAAAGTGAGGGTGAGCAGCCGCACCTTTCTGTATGTTTTTATTTGGCTTTTATGGAAATCTTTTGGGTGTGGGAATTCAGTGTTTGTGACTGTTAGATTTTCCATCTTTTGAACTTTGTTATTTGAACAACAGCTGTAGGAAGGCCATGCATAGGGGCTTAATATCCATGCAAATCATATTCACTGCATATTTTACCATAGCATTTCAGAAGTATTTCAAATAAGTGTCTACCTGTTATATTTCAGATGGCTGGTAAATAGGAAGGGGAACGAGGAAACTACACGAACCATGTTTTCCGTACTGGCTGCAAGACCATTAGACAATTCCTACTGCCACTAACAATCATCACTCTGAAGTGGTCTGAAAGGGGTGAGGGCTGGAAGACTACTGCTTACTTTGGAAGAAATATTGTTTTCTTTGTTCTGCTCCTCCTAACAAACTGGAAAGAATAGGTAAATGTTTTATCTAACTACACCAATTAGATTTTTCTCTGGAGAAACTGTTCATCTATACTATACCAAACACAACAGACCATGTATACATTTTTCTTTCATTTGCAAAGATTAAGTAAACTAGCCTCCTAATGCTGCACATAAGAAAATATGCAGATAAGAGACATTTTAGTCAGATGTCCATCACCTAGACCTCTACTTCTCCTTCTTTTTCCTTTTTCTCGCCTATCCGTAGGAAATGCACTTAAGTGTATTAGTTAGAGGATGAGCTGGAAGCTAGAAAAAAAAATCTTAATGAATCAGATTGACTGCTGGTTAAGACATTGTGATGGTAATAATTTAAAAGGGATATGTTCCTTCATCACAGTTTTGATCCCTACAGCCACCACCACCACTGTCATCATCATTGTCCACATTATTACCACCGGCCAGGAGCTGCGCTGGATGCTTTATTTGCACTATTTTAATAAACCTCTTCTTTCATTTGAGATAGGACCTTTGCACATTCTGGTTTCTTTGCTTGGCCTGCCCTTCCTTTTCCCTTTTTGGTTAACATTGACTCATCCTTTAGAGAACACCTCAGGCATAACTTTCCCCCAGGAGACCCACATTACGGACCCTATATAGTGTCTTTCAGTGCCCCCTTTTCCTTTCTCCTTTACTAAACTGCAGCAGGGACCATATGACTTTTTGATCCCTAGGCAGGTGCAGCGCACAGCACACCCCTGGTACATGGACTTTGCATTTCTTCAGTAGCGGTAACACATAGGCCATACGTATGTACGTGGTCGTATGTATATATGTGGCCATACCTTGGGAAGTGCCAGTCAGGATTTCATTCCATACTGTCTACAAGACCATTAGACAATTCCTGCTGCCGTGAACAATCATTACTCTGAAGTGGTCTGAAGGGGATGAGATCTAGAAGGCAGACTGCTTATTCTGGAAGAAATACAGTTTTCTTTGTTCTGCTGTTACTAACCAACTTGACATAATAGGTAAACGTTTCATCTAACTGCACCAGTTAGATTTTTCTTTCTGGCACCACTGTAATTCCATTTTCTCCTCTTCCTCCTCCTCTTCAGCTTCTTGCTGTTTCCTCAACACAGCAGTGTAGGGTAGTGTTTAAAGCAGTGGCTTCACATTTAGACTGGGCTTGAATAGAGACAGTACATGCAAAACACCAAGTGCTCACTATTTATTATTACCAGTGTTGCCCTCATTCCCACTTCCAATCTGTGAGCAGAGATGTGCCATTCCAGTGTACTACTGTGTCCTTTAGATCAGCCAGGGCTCTTGCCAGTGGCACT